GGCATAAGATGTAAGTACAACTCCTCCGGTTTCATATGCAAAAAAAAAATATTGCGCTAGCTTACGCGGTTCCGGTTCTACAGGGATTTAAAAGTAGTTACACAAAACGGAGCGTGCCCGCTCTGACCGGCTTTAAATGATTTAATAAGTCCAGACGCTTTTCTTTCCAAGCTCCTTAGACTACGATAACCTAGATGACTGAGAACCTTCACTTCGATGAACATAAAAATCCAAATTTCTGGGAAAGGGTTTAGATTTTTAATTGTCAGTATCTGTTTTTTATATTAGGAATTAACATTAAATTCCAATCTCAACTTGTTGGATTGAAAAACAAGGAGACACAGCTGAACACACCCCTGTCCTGAAGGACTCACCTCTGGTGTAACAAGCTTGTTGGACTTTGCCGGTGCACTGCAGCAGCTGGTTGTTGACCATCAAGAAGTCCTGACCATAACACTCGATGTAAAACTGCTCAGCTGCAACAAAAGCAGGTTAGGGTTGTGTTTAATTGTTTTCATTAAGACTACATCCACACATACACGAAAACTTTTCAAACGCAGCTTTTTCTATGCGTTTGAATCTTTTGTCCACGTGTAAATTATGTTTTTGATCACTGACAACTGAGATTTTTTAAAGCTCCTGCCAGAGTAGAGATTTTCAAGAACTCCGTTTTTACGTTTACCTGTGGATGAGGAAAACAGAGATTTAGTCACGTCAAAGGTGTGCACCTGTTTTGACGTCATGCTGTGTGCCACGGTGTTGTTTACATGAGATAAATTTCTAAAATGCTGGAGAGAGACAAAATACTGTTGCTGTTAATCTGACTATCTGCAGTTTTTACACACTTACACATGCAGTTACCAACTCTTCATTTACACAGAGAGAGGCGTCACAGTGAACTTCAGACGTGGCTTCTCCGGTTTTGAATGATTGTAATTTGTTTTAAATTACATTTATATATGCTAAAATAATGTTTAAATGTTAACATTTGAAATGATGAAGACAGTTTAAAGTAACACAAAATTATCTGTCCTTACAGAAAAACACAAAAACTTTTCAGAAGTACTGAAGGTTGCATAAAACCCTGTTTACTCGTTCCCTCCCAGGCTTCTAGACTTCTAATTGGCCAATATTTCTAAACGGCTAGGATTTGGCATGTTCTTGACAACGTTTGACTGCGTTTTTGACGTTTACACTAAGCATGCTTTTTCTTGATTTCGCACATGCTGGTGGAGCAAAAATCTGTCTGAACAGATATGGGTAAAATATTACCCAGAATGTACAATAATTTATAGCACCTGCACAACAGTCAAAGCTTTTAAAATATTGTAATTTGAGACTAACAGAATGATTATTAGGCTAGTTCAATGATGTCAAAGTGAGTCATATTTAGACTAAACATTATATAAGGCTTAAAACACCAATTAAGATATAAATAAAGGTTCTCTAACAAGAATCCAGACTCAGAGGTGATGATTATTTTCAGTATTATTATCAACAAATTACTAGCACATTGCTAGTAATTTGTTTCGACCAACTTGAGATTAAGAATACTGTCCTACTTTCAGCGTTCAGTTTAGTTACCTGAGCAGAGAGGTATCAGTAGAAGCAGGAGCAGATAAGCCTTCATGTTTTGGTTTTATGTCAATGCAACGAACAGCAAAAATGGAGATGAGCACACTCGAGCTGGACTTTTATCCTCTGCTAAAACCGCAAATGTACACAAAGGTTAACAGATAGATAACTGATCAGAAGACAAACTGTACTGAACTCAAATTACTGTTTGTCTAAACTTTGTTCCATTAGTTAATCATGAACCAGTAGGGTAAAGAGGGTAGACCTGTACATCTGAGTTGGCTGCTTTTGCTGAGTCTCGAGTTTATGTAACATCAGATTGTCAGACTGAGGTTGTTTTTTTTTTTATTGAATTGGATCAGGGATATCTTCTTCACCAAAGCCATTACCATAGTCAACTCAAACTTGCATTAAGTAATCTGCACTGAAATATCATCAATTCTCTGCCTGTCTGTCTCTGTGTCAGCACTGTACTGTGTATTTATATGTATAGTAAGTGTATAGTTAAATTATTGTATAGTTTTTATAATGTGCTATAAAGCACATGTGCACTTTTATAGAGCTGTTTCCAATTTCGCTATTGTCGTGGTCTGGGTGGTTTCCCACAGCATCGGCTCCTCCCCACTGGGTGGAGTCCTTGTTGTTCCTCACCTGATGGCAATCGTACCAGCAGTATTTATGACCGGCGCACTCAACTGGTCTTCGCCAGATTATCTGCCAACTTTAGTCAGTTCTCGGCCTCACGTCTGTTCCTTGGTGACTCATCGTGTGTATTAACCTTATTTCTTCTGTTTTCTCGTTAGCCTCTGAAACCCACCTACCAAGCTCTCCTGGATACAAGTTTGCAGCCGCCGGTAATCCCTCCCCATTTTGGAACTGCCGTTCTCTTCTGCCTGCCTCCCTGCATTGCATGCAGCACCCATCTGGACCTCTCCTGCCTCCCCCCTCCACGCAACCCCCACCTGCAAGCTTGTAAGACAGCTCAGTGTATTATCCTTAGATTCACTCGCAGCCCTCTGTGGGATTCCCCTGACTACTCTCTCCTCTGTTTCAGTGCCCTGGCCCGCCACAGTTTCCCCTGCCCAGTACCTGCACCCAGTTATCCCTGCCATCTAGTTATAGTCACAGTATTTTTCTCTCGCCTCAGACATCTAGTTTATGTTCATTAATTCTAGTCTGCAATTTCTGTTAGCCTCTGAGCATTGTAATAAAGTCTCTTTTCGTTACACCACACCTCTGGCCTCCGGGTTTGAAACTGCACTTGAGTCCATCCCATTTCCACGAGCCATGACAGCTATACCATGTATAATGACAATAAAGGCTTTCAATTCAATTAAATTCAGTATATTTTTTTTAAAATAAAATCATGATAAGAAAGAGTGACTCCAAAACGACTCCAAAAGCATGAAAGGCTGGGTTTGATTTAAAGGGGCATGATTAACATGTAGTCATGAATGGCCTTTCTGTCTGGTATAATGAACATGCCTGTTTGTTATAGTCATAGTTAGTTTGTCATTCAGATGTAGAATACTGTAGGCAATTTTCATATCTATGCTATCAACTAATTAACTTGACAGTTATAATTCAGTTGAAAACCTTACTTTTGTTAGACCTCAGTACAGTGTTTGATACTGTTTACAACCATAATCTATTGCAGGGATTAGAGCATGCCACAGGTATTAAAGGTGCTGTGCTTCAGTGGTTTAAATCATATCTAATAGAAGTCAGTTTGTTCATGTAAATGAGAAGCCCTTTTCACCCATCAAAGTTAATTGTGGAGTTCTGCAGGGTTCTGTACTGGGACAAGTTCTGTTTAAATTAATTCAATTAAATTCATCTTTATATATCGTTAGCTTCATAGCATAAGTGCCTAAGTCATTTTTTGGTCAAATTGAGATTTTTGCCTAACTTTACTCCCCTACCACTGCTGCATCATCCTGTCCGTCTGAAACACAAAACACAAAAAAATGACTTAGGCACTTATGCTATGAAGCTAACGATATATACTGCCAAGTCACAATAGCAGTCACCTCAATATTAATATTGCAAAGTCAAAAGAAATACACCCCAATTCTGCGTCATTCTTGCGGGTAACCTACTTGTTTTGGGGCCTAGTTGCCACAAAGTATGAAAGCAAGTTTTGGAATGGTTCCTATTTCGTAAGTAGCAAAAAAGAATCGTAGTGCGAGTTGTTTTGTGTAATTTAAATACTTTTGCGATGCAAAATCTGAAAGGAAGTTTAACGGTATGTTTCTTTGTTTCCTTTTGTACGTAGCCTGTCAGTGCTAAAGGAAGTTAGCTAGCTTTTTAGCTTTTAATTGCTTCTGCTCACAAAAAGGACCAGACCTTTGTGATTTTTGAGGTGGATATTCGGGATACAACAACAGTGGCCATGGCTATGATTATGACTGTGGATCAGTTGGAGACAAAAACATTGTTACTTCAGGAGTCCTTGAAAACAGAAGAAAACCTGTTGGATTATGAATGTGAGGAGTCCTTGAAGACAGAAGAAAACCTTTTGGATTATGAATGTGAGGATGAAAAACATATTTTTGAGTCTCCAAATGACTCAGTTTGCTGTGTAAATGAAATTGCCAGAAAGAGGAAACTATGCCAAAACGGCTTGGACTGTCCCAGACCATTAAAAAAGCCAGTGGTAGTGTTGACTAGACTTCCTGAATATAAGAAACCTGCAAGAATGAACAAATGCAGTGAGAGCGACAGAACACCACCACCCGCTTCACCTCCGAGCACCAGCACCAATGCGGCAGATGTGGCTCCTGTTATAATATCATCAGTGTTTGGCCATTCCTCCAAGGAAATAATAACTGCCCGACCTGAGGCACAGAAGGATGAACTCAAATTGAACATGGTAGTTCTGGCTAGGAGAAGACCTATGAGGTGGCAACAGGGAAAAATAGTCGAGATAGTTACAAGGGAAGACGGACGGTTAAAATACAAAGTCAGGTTTGAAGAAAAAGGGAAGAGTCTAGTATCTGGACACCACGTTGCTTTTGACACCACAGCAAAGGTGGAGCAGCTGTATGTTGGTGCCCGTGTGGTGATTCAGTGTCAAGATAACAAGTACCGGTTCCAGCCTGGTGTCGTAGGCGAGCTCCCCAGCAGAAAGAACCGCCTAAGGTTCTTGATCTTTTTGGATGATCACACGCCGGTCTATGTTGGGTTACCTGTAATTCATTTGGTTTGGAAACCTTTGGAAAACGTTGCAGATGACATTCTAGAGGGCCCTCACAAAGACTTCATAGAACATTACCTGAATAAGTGGCCGTACCCTCAGTTAACCCAGTACAGGCTTGGACCGACCCTTAATGCTGAATTGAACGGAGTCCTGCAAAAGTGTGAAGTGCAGATTATTGACTGCAGCTTAATGCAGGTGAGTGAACACAAGGAGTGGATATACCGAGGTTCGTAACGACTGGAGCACATGGCAAAGTTTTTGGAGATGAAACACAGAGAACAGCTTCAGTGCGACTCTGACTGAACGTCCCCTGATGCATGAGCTGCAAAAATTGAAACTATTTTACAATCGGACGAGATGCCATTTATTTGGGGGGCGGGGTTATTTTGTTTTTTTTGTGGAGAACCTGTCACGGTCTGGCTGGCAGACCGTGGGGATGTGTGGGGAAGGAGGACCCAGGCGCGGTGCTCTATGTACAAACAGTGTTTATTTACAGAGTGAAATAAACAACGTAACAATAAATCCCCGTGTTCTCCCAGACTCCCGTGTCGTGTCTCCCGTGAATAGTCCGTGTGCTCTCTGCTCCCGTGTCAGCACCCCCCGGTGCTCGCTGCTCTCCGTGCCTTCCACGCTCTTCCTGCGGGAAACAATAGCGCAGCTGTCAGGACACTCAGAAATGGCAGGCATACACTTTCTGACTAAACTTAGACAGGGTGACTAACGTGGAGTCTCATGCAATGATCCCGCGTCGGTGGGAGCTCCAAGACTCTCCTAAGTAGCTCCCCCGACGAGCCCTGATCAGCGGCAGGTGTGTGGCTTCGGGTGTGGCCAGTCCTTCCGCAGGGCCACACCCCTCAGGCCTGCGGGTGGCTGAGCTCCATCCTCCAAGCATCCCCGCAGACATAAACACACACACACACTCACATCTACAATCATGGAGGAGAGCAGCAGCAATACCAAAATACATATAATAATCATAATAATAATAATATAATACATGACTGCTCAGGGATCCTGGGTCGCCCAGTCCCAGGACCCTGACAAACCAGCAGCCAGTAACAAATGAGTGTGATGGTACAAGCATACTCACACTCATTTTAAGCTGTTCCAGCTTGAAACAGGTTTTATTTCTCCTTTTTTTTTTTTTTTTTTTTTTTTTTTTGTATTCTAACTTTACAGTACAGACTTAAGAAATATATATATATGTAGTTGGTGAATTAATGCATTTCCAAATGTTTGTCCAACATAAACAAATTACCAAATAAAAAAAAAAATACACCCCAAAATTCTATGTAAGTCTTGTTGGTAGCAGCAATTATCAATTAATTCAATTCAATTCAATTCAATTCAATTCAATTCAATTTTATTTATATAGCGCCAAATCACAACAAAAGTGCCTCAAGGCGCTTCATAGATACAGAGAAAAACCCAACAATCATATGACCCCCTATGAGCAAGCACTTTGGCGACAGTGGGAAGGAAAAACTCCCTTTTAACAGGAAGAAACCTCCGGCAGAACCAGGCTCAGGGAGGGGCGGGGCCATCTGCTGCGACCGGTTGGGGTGAGAGAAGGAAGACAGGATAAAGACATGCTGTGGAAGAGAGACAGAGGTTAATAACAGATATGATTCAATGCAGAGAGGTCTATTAATACATAGTGAGTGAGAAAGGTGACTGGAAAGGAAAAACTCAATGCATCATGGGAATCCCCCGGCAGCCTACATCTATTGCAGCATAACTAAGGGAGGATTCAGGGTCACCTGGTCCAGCCCTAACTATATGCTTTAGCAAAAAGGAAAGTTTTAAGCCTAATCTTAAAAGTAGAGATAGTGTCTGTCTCCCGAATCCAAACTGGAAGCTGGTTCCACAGAAGAGGGGCCTGAAAACTGAAGGCTCTCCTCCCATTCTACTTTTAAATACTCTAGGAACAACAAGTAGGCCTGCAGAGCGAGAGCGAAGTGCT